TATATATATATATATATATATATATATATGTGTATATGTGTGTATGTGTGTGTGTATTTGGGCAACAAACTAACTTTGATACAAATGCCATTAAAAACAACTGAATGTGCAAATACCCTTGAGAAAGGTATACATCCATTTGTTATACCCTCACCTTCTATGGGTAAATAGCAAGATAGACTGTGTCATATAACCTTGGATGGTAACCAGTCTAAGAGAAGGATAACACTGAATTCAGAACACGAGGATTGTCGTTTGGGGACATTTCATCATTTCTCCGTTTTCGGCTTCTCCAAAATGTGTTACACAAGCCTTCACTTATGATAATCAAATTATATGTGCTTATTACAGTCTTCTAGCGGTTATATATTATACTAGAATTAGAGTATTTAATTTACAAGATATATATTTGTCATTAAAACTAAACGTGATATATATATATATATATATATATATGTGTGTAAAAAGGAAAAATATTTTAGAGTTGTGAATAGTAATTTTTTATATTAAGTATAAATCATACTTGTTCATAAAAAATATCAATCTGTATATATTAATACCAATATATATTAGGCAAACATTATGTTTAATTATCCAGAAATTATTTGAAAGATAACCGTTGCCACCTTGCCAATAAACGTTTAGGATAATACAAAAGACATAGCTATCCCTACGGCATCATTGACCAACATATATAAATAGCCGAGCAAAAGCGTAACGTGGCCTGAAGATTGCGTTTACGTGTGAACCTGTCATATAAGGGATAATGGAATCGTCCATTTATGTAAATAAGCGGAGTTATGCGGATCTGTACAGAGTTAGCATTAGGTTTTAGTCGCGGTCTAAGCTTCTAGTGCTCGTCGAATTCTATGCCTTCGGACAGAGAGGAACCCAGACGAGCCTTTGCCGAGGGGCAGAGTGTCATCTGGAGAGGTATACAAACCCGACCCCGTTATTACAGGGTCTACTGGGAATTTTAGCCCGGTCCTACAGACTTGGAAAAACCCATGTAAAACCGGCTTTGTGCTACATCCCGCTCAGTGGGGATCCCTGGTAAATACCGAGTTAGCATTAGATTTTAGCCGCGAACTGTACTCAGACGAGGCTATGTAGAATGGCAGAGTCTCGTCTAGGGAGGTAGATAAACCAGACCACGTTATTGCGGGGCCAACGGGGAATTTTTGCTCGGATATACGGGCTAGGAAGGACCCGCGTTAAGCCGGCCTTGGGCCACATCCTGCTCTGTGGGGATACTGGGTAAATACCGAGTTGGCATTAGATCTATTGCTAAGTATACCTTCATGTAGTAACCTTCTATTTCATTACTTACCTATGAGTTTGTCTTTCTGGTTTATTTTCCTCTCTTATCTTGAAAACACGAGATACAACAGACACAGCCTGCCAACTCTAATTGTTCATCTAAGTATCACTATTTATATATATATATATATATATATATATATATATATATATATATATGTATGTGTATTATTTAGGCATTTTTTTCATTCATATTTCATTAAATAATATAGACAAGTGTTGTCTATTTATTTTATGTAAATTCCTTTCATAATGTTGGTGACTGATGTAATGACATAACCAGTCACCCCCATGAATGAATACATAAAATAAATAGACAACACTTGTCTATATTATTTAATGAAACATGTATAATATATATATATATATATATATATATATATATATATATATATATATATATAATCCTGGACAATTTTGGTAACGATTTTTCTTTTACATATGTTTGCTTTAAGGAAAACTTGTTCATTAAGATTTTATTTATTTAACTTATTTGGTTTAAAATGCTTTTCTTGTTTCAAGCATGAATTCGAACCTTAGCTGTCTAACGTCTTATGTGCAATTTCAGTTTTCATAAGATATCTTCAAACAATATTCATCTTGGTTAATAAGTTTGTCTCTGTTGCTATTCATTGTGTTTCTTTGGTGGTTTTCGTGTGTCGTGTTTTCTCGTGTCAGCTTGCGGCTTTGCTTTTTGTTCTTACCAAATCTTGTTCTTTTTTCTATGTACAAATGACCAAATATAGTTTCTATGAAAATCCTGCCAGGGTTGTATATATGTATGTGTGTCTAAGTCTCTGTGTTTGTGCGTGGCTATGTGTGTGTGTGTGCTTGAGTTTGTGTGTGTTTTTGTGTTTGTAATCTTTTGCCCTGTATATTGTATAAGTAAAGTGTCTCAGACTATTCTTTAAATCTCCGACAGTTAGAAGCCACGCACGCATCATATGAATGGACAGTAATGTAAAGTTTACTTCCTTTTGTTGCCGTTGTCTTGTATTGGCCTATTTACCTTTGACCTTCCAGACAAGTCAATAGAAGTTCAATAGGTTTGAGATATTCATTCAGACTAAACATCTCAATGAATAATCAATAGACATGGTGGCTGAGTGCGTCCAGAAGTATCCACGGATACACTTCGATTAAAGGGTCGGTCGGCGCCGTGACCTGACTTTAAGAATTTTTTTCTTTTATGTTTTACTGTCAATTGCTTATGGTTCAAATCCGGAAAGAACTGTTGAACTAAAAAAAATGTATTCTTCAGTTGGTGACTGATGTAATGGCATAACCAGTCACCCCCATGAATGAATACACTATACGTAGTAAGTACCTATAAAGTCGACTGTCTACGAGAGACGGGGGAGACGAGAGAAGAGTGAGAGAGAGAGAGAGAGAAAGAGAGTTAAAGAGAGAGAGAGAGAGAGAGAGAGAGAGAGAGAGAGACGACGCAAGCATGTCCGGCATTCCAATGAGTGTCACTCCCTACTAGATTGACCTGTGTGTATAACTATACTGTATTTCATATTGTACTTGTTGTTTACAATAAACCTTTCTTCTATTATCCACCTGGTGTTAAGTATTTATTCCCTTAGTACGGAATATAACAGTGGCGACGAGAATGTTTGAAACTCAAAAGATATAACACTGAATAAATCCAAATTTAATCCAGGGCCTGGTTTGCAGTGCGCCTTGGAACAAGTCTACTTACTCATGTTTTGCGGGTATGAGGCCAAATCGGCTTTGTGGATGGGGTATAGCGTGTCCTAAATATAAAGGTTTAATCTGGATAAAGAAAAAAATTCAAACTGATATGAATTCTTATATATTTTAGTACATTAATGAATTTATACATTTAGATAATGACAAATCATTCAATAAGTGATACAGGTAACATATCACCTACTACTACCTACCTGATTGTTCGATCTTCGATAATTAAACCAATTCCCTAAGCTGTGTGTGTGGGGGGGAGATTTTATAGTGGTAGAAATGGGTGCAAAATCAGAATTGCAAACCAGTCAAAAGATGCACTGATTGAAAAGGAAATAATCTATAAAGAGAGAGTTGATGCATGGAATGAAAATGGCGTGAACAGGTTATTTCCATGGGGGAGGAGTCGAATCACATCCAGAATAATGTAGATGGTTTAGGAACGGGTTCTTGAAGAAAAAAATCGAAAAGATTATCTATCCAACGCAAAAGAAAACTCTAAGAATAATGTCTATAAAATCATCTACCATTTAAACGGTTGATTCTCCATTGTATAGGCCATGTGTAAAAACTACTGAAAGTGGGCAACATATTGTCAGTGGCTGCATTTAACATGAATAAAAAGGTATACAGACAACGCCATGAGAAAGTGTCCCTCATTACCGCTACTCATCAAGAATGAGCATGTGAAACCGACGTGAAACATAATTATCTTGATTGACAAGCGCTTGGTAGTTAAACGCCCTGATATCTCAATTATGAAGAAGAGCAGCCATGAATGGATCCGGATAGATGTTGCAGTATCTTGGGATAAGGTCATCGCAAAAGCGGAGCAAGTAAAAATACAGTGATACCAAAACCTGGCATTGTAATTCAGAGAAATGCACCAAGAAGCAACTCAAGTTGTCCCATTTGTAGATAGTGCATTGGGAATTATTTTTAGGAATCATTCTTCCTAGCAGAAAGCTTTGGGTATGCATTAAATAATTCATAGAGAATCCTCTGATAGAAACAACTGATGTTGATAAGGAAAGGTACCACGTCTCTATGCTGCAGCAGGAACTGAGATATGACCATTCTCACCCTACAGAAAGAGTCGTAGAGAATCTATAATAATAATAATAATAATAATAATAATTTTTAATGATATTTCAGCAAATAAGAAAATAAAGAATATATTGTTGTTACTAATACATGCAATAAATGTGTAAATGAAGATCATGTGATATACGTTTATTTTGACTGACAAGCGCATGTAGAGCAAGTGCCACGACATTACACTTGCGCACAAGAGCAATCATGAATGGATCCTGGCAAAAATACAGAGTTGCCAAAACCTCTCAGGGCAATTCAGATAAATTTGCGAAGCAGCATCTTACATTGTCACGTTTAAGATTAGCTTACTCAGGACGAATTCCAGTATTTCTTCTGTCTAGCAGAGACACATTGCAGTTACTTAGCAACCTGTGCAATTGGTAGCGCTGTGGGAAGGAGCCTAGGTATGACCATTATCGGCCGGCCGAAATATTTAAGAGTTGGTGTGGATCTCAAACTTTAAATGATAACAGCAAATAATTTAAATCAAAAACAGAAATGAAATTTCTGTTTACCTTACAAATAAGAAACGTGGAAAACAAAACACTGAAAGAGAAATATTCAAAGACTCAACGGTAATAAAGTCCAGAAAACTGCAACCCACCACTCGATGGCATCGTCTGAACTAAAGTCAGAAATGAAGAATTCATTACTGTTTTGCAAGGTCAGAGCCACCACATCAGAATTGGTCTATCCAATATTCTATTGACTAGGAACAGTCCATTTTGCAGAGTATATAGCTTACACACAAAAACTTTAGACTATGTAAAATTAGGACTTATGAAAAAAATATTTAAAAAAACGATTGCAGAGAAATGAAAAACTTACTAAATAGGACTAGTATATGTACCGGGTATTGTGTCATATGTACCGGTACTATGACATATGTACCGGGTACTGTGGCATATGTACCGGATACTGTTACATATGTACCGGGTACTGTGACATATGTACCGGGTACTGTGGCATATGTACCGGGTACTGTGACATATGTTCCGAGTACTGTGGCATATGTACCGGGTACTGTGACATATGTTCCGAGTACTGTGACATATGTACCGGGTACTGTGACGTATGTGCCGTGTACTGTGACATATGTACCGGGTACTGTGACATATGTTCCGGGTACTCTGGCATATGTACCGGATACTGTTACATATGTACCGGGTACTGTGACATATGTACCGGGTACTGTGACATATGTACCGGGTATTGTTGAATATGTACCAGGTACCGTAAGATATATGCGGGATACCGTCACATTCTCGTTATGATCAAGAAAAATTACTTAAATCATTAAAAATAAATTGTCTTTCTCATATTCAACACACAATTCAACACACTAAGCATTTTTCTCAATTTCCTTAACACCTTCAAAATATTCTGATGTTTGGTCAATGAAATACTACCTTTAGAATGTGAGGCTGCTCGTGAACTTTTAATTACACACACGTTAATACACGATACGGCAGAAATATCTCCCATATGTACCTCCAAGAAATACCTCTCACATAATGGTAAGACATTAGTGACAACGGTGTCTACATCCAGCTAATGTCTTACCATCTTGTGGTAGTTATTTCTGGGAGTTATATATGGGAAATATTTCTACCGCACCTTCAATGAATGCATTGCTAATTATTTTTCTCAATAATTCACTGGTATAAATGCAATATTAATAATTTTCCCAGAAAAAAATACAATGAAAATCAGGGATTATCAGGGTGACGAATAAAATGTATCATTATTATTCTAAAAAAAACTATTATAAGCACGATGCAAATGATAGTAGAAATTAACCTTTTCCATACAGAAAACATTCGACAGAACAGTTAAGAGTTAGTGTCAGTTGAAATTTATAAAATCTTTTTCTTTAAAAGATTTTCAGGAAAAACAACATCTTAAGTTGTCTAAATGTTATATCCCTCCCTATTTCGACTTTCGTAGTGTGGAAAGTTACTATCTTGATTATATAATAATTTTCTCTTCGAGTTACATGTGCTCCCCATTTTTGTTATTACTATTGCAGCTGTAGGCTTTAAGAAAGCTTTATTCAACTGAAAATACAAGGTTCACGTAATGTGCCATTTTATAGTCCCAATAAACAGAAATAGCTCTCTCAACGAGAAGATTAACAAAACAAGGGGAGACCACTCATGATTATTCATATCAACTATTGTGGCAAGTGTTCAAACGATGGAGCTTTTGCTATTTGATAAAGCTTTTTGTGATCTTGCAGTACGAAATTATAAAATCTAATGAAGAGTTGTCTTTTTAAAGGCCTAAAGAATTCCTTTATTTGAAGCCATTTATTAATCATTGATCTTAGAAAAGAGTTGTACAGAGATGCAAATTTATATATTTATGAGAGTCGAGTTCTGAAGAGACTATATAAATATAACATTAGTTTTTAGGTTAATATTTTGTTTTCGTACCATCTTATAGTGTTGTATAAAAGGACACCAATTCTGTGTTCAATTGCTTTATCACCTGTATTGAATTTGTTATAACCTATCCATACATCTAGATATATGTTTTGTTTAGTTCTCAGTCTGACCAAAAAGTCTTTCCAAAAGGTAATGATTTAATTACCTTTTTAAATGGGTTGTGGTAGGAATCTTTCACCACTCGTCGATATTACTGACGTCTGCGAAAGAAAAATTAGAGATGGCATCGGATTTAAATGGGAGACGATAACATTTCACCTTTTTATTAGAAACCCACAGTTAATGGAATTGGAAAACCTATTTTCCTGAAAAATCATTCTAATAGAAATAGTTTATGAATTCCAATCAACGGTAATACTGGCTGTTCTTTCTTTTTTTATTTTTATTCAGTGACGTATATATACAGAATAATCTCTATCTATAAAAGGCGGCATGTGTGTGCGTGTGTAACGAATGCACGGCCGCAATTTTCGACGGATTTGCACCAAAAATTACATGCACAGGCTCCAAGTTAGCGGGAAGGACAAGACCGACTTTGCATTTCCCAACTCTCATCGATAGTGGAAATAATCAATGCCTCTACGGCAGTTTTCATGTAGTTTGCGGCCATTTTGTACTGGCCAGGGTGAGAGCCTATAGCTGGCTGCCACGAATAGGCAGGAAGATTCTATTGGCCAGCGTGAGAGCCAACAGCTGACTGACACGAATGTTAACTAGCATGCTAGGATGCAAAAAAAAAAATCGATAGCTGCATTCGTCCCAAGTGGGAAAAATTGTCTCATTCGCTTGCTTAAACTCAACGTTGATTCAGATTCCGCAGAACTGGGTTGGGTGTGAAAAAGTATTTATTAACATTCTTTTTTTCATTCGGTTTTTCCAGTTACAAGTTCTTACTGATCGTTTTGTGTTCATTTTGTTTAGTTCTTTTTTCGTAACTGATTTACTGTTTAGTATAGAGCTTAGAAAAAATTCCCAGTGTGCAATAGGCAAGAAGTAAGGCATGTAGCAATATCAGCACGGTAAAGGGCACTCCTTTAAAGGCAGGGAAGGGCAAAAATATATTTAAGTCAAGTGATAGCGATTGCTGTATGAGCCGTACGACTTTTGAATTTAAGCACGGGCAACGCCGGGCAATACTGCTAGTCAAATATATATTTAAGTTGGAAAAGCAGTCAATAAAAGGCCAATGCGAAACGTCTACTATAATTATTACTTTCTGACCATATTTAGGCGGGAGTGCCCAGAACTTACTTTCCAGTCTTGACAGAGTTCAAAAACGTCTCTGAATCCTTGTTGGAGGAGAATTATTTTCCACCCTCCAAACTCTTTCTCACAGGCAGGATGTGGCTCTATAGCTACTTCCATGGAAAGTGCTCGGACGAACTATATTCCTTGGTACCGCAGCTAGGACCTATCATGCCACGTAAACTGTAGCATACCACCCACATTCCCATCGTATTTCATCATCGAGAAGTAAGTTCCACTCAAACAGCATTTTCCCCCAAACCTTTGCTCTGTGGAACAGACTTACAAGGGGATGTTCCCCCGATCACTACAATCTTAATCTATTCAAGTTTAAAGTCAGCTGTTATCTTCTTTATCTATATAAAGTACACCTTAGCGTAGTCCTCTACCTTGAGTGGCCCAGGGTGAAATTTACTGTAAAACGTAACTATTAGAGGAGAGAAGAACAGATACTACATTTTGATCCCGAGGCAATAGACAGAGACTGAAGAAAATTGTAACTCGTGTAGCACTGACTTCTCAGTCAAAGAATGACTATTGTTTCTTTATAAAAAACAGCTAACAATACCATTACTATATTATCATTATTAAACGGCTCATTTCCATTAATAATGCAGTTCTTCTTCAAATCTGTTTGATACTACCTTATAAACGAGCGTGTGCTCCGACGTATCATTCTCCCTTCCCCTTCCACACACCGGTAACGTATTTGTGTAGGCTAATCAAATACATTATTTAAGTTGGAAAAGCTGTCAATACGAGGCCAGTGCGACCACTGGAAATGCTACTAATGGAAGGATTAAGGTTTACAAGTCTGTTCACCTCCCCATCTCTCTTTCGGTCACCCTTGGAACTGGGTAATGTTTGGACAGTCAGATTAGCAGCCATAAGTAGAACGCCGAATTCACTGATCAAAACAAACCCGCCGTAAATGACAAGTACATCAGCGTAAGCTTACACACAAGTTCTTGCAGTTGGAAGGCACTCAAGACCGAAACGGAAAACTTTAAAGCGATTGACAGTTCTGTCGGTGACGGGGAGTTGGATTCAACTGACAAAAGTATTTCCCTTAAGTGTTTGGACTCCGCTGACGAGTGTTTGGGCGCCCATCATATTTGAACTGATTCTACGAGACGAATCCAGAGATGACATTAGACAGGAAGTTGAAAAGAGGGCCTCGTGGAGGCAGAAATGCAACGTGACTGGGTAGAGGTTCGCCGGTGAGGCTAACCGAGTAACCAAAAGGGCGGGAAGGCGAACGTGTTGTCATTTTACCAACTCCTCAAGGTCTCTGTTGCTGCTGATGTGAGCAACCACTTCTCCCTTACACTTGAATGACCAGAGGCAAATCTGACACTAAGAATGAATCGTGTGGTCGACAGTGAAGCATGCTTTAACAGAAAGGCATCAAGTTAAATCCTGTTGCCTATTCACAAGCAGCCACTGAATTTGAATTGAAGGTACTCAAATGGCCGGAAAATGGGAAGAGATAAATATGACGACATGGAGTAGAGGTTGACGAAATAATGATGGCTGCTTTTAAATAAAACGAACATAAAACAAATTATTTCTGATTTGTTAAGTTTTGAATAGATTCTGTAGTTCCAGATGTGGATACATGTGCATTCTTTTTCGACATTTCTATGTTAGCCTAATCATACGTATGTATCTATCTATCTATCTATCTATCTATCTATCTATCTATCTATCTATCTATCTATCTCAGTCTAATGCTATATATTTAACTGTCTGTCGATCTCAGTCTAATGCTATCTCTCTTTCTCTATCTATCTCAGTCTAATACTATCTGTCTGTCTCAGTCTAATGCTATCGCTATCTTAGTCTAATACTATCTATCTCAGTCTAATGCTATCTATCTATCTATCTATCTATCTATCTATCTATCTATCTATCTATCTATCTATCTATCTATCTTTTATTTGATTATTTCCCCCCCAAACAATCGACCTAGGTATGACGATAAACCATATCCGGTAACAATGCCTCTGATCAGAAGGTTTTGAGGAATATGAATCATGTCTTAATTGCTGTTGTTCCCAGGTACACGCTTACCAGGAGTGGTAGCACCTGTTAGGATCTCAGCTATGGGCAAATAGTTACCCCCCAAAAAAAAAAAAACTGGTGACAAAAAACTATGAAAGTATAAAAGAATACTTTTATCGTAAAAAATAAAGAACTTGAAAAAATACCGGCAATACATTTGACACTCGACAAAAAAAAACCCTCTTTACAAATACATACATATATCAATGAAACCTGATTTACAAAAATATTTCTAGATATAGATATATATATATATATATATATATATATATATATATATATATATATATATAATATTCATATGAACATATCTTAGAAATCTTGTCGGTGTTAAATAACCCATTGAAGTCGATATACTGTAAAACAAAATAAACCAAACCTACCCCCATATAAGGTAATGAAGCCACTAAGAGGCAAGGGGTTATTGTGTGAGAAAAATAAGAGAAATTGAAAAACATTATTATGGAGAGAAAGCAAAATGTCATGAATGAAGAAGAAAAAAGATTACGAGAAGTGCGATTGAAGAAACTGTATGCATACTATTTACAGTTACATCTAGCCTTTTTGACAGTAAAATAATGAAACATAACTGCCAATATAGTACTGCGCTTAAATTCGTAAAGTCGATGAAACAAAGACTATCTATCTATCTATCTATCTATCTATCTATCTATCTATCTATCAGTTTCAGAGTTTTTGACAATGTGTGTAACGGAAACATTTTCGTTGAACAAAATTAAATATGAAATAAGACTAAAAGATGGCGTTTATCCGCAAAACTTACATTTATAACCAGCAGCAAAACAATTCAACAAGGAACAGGATTCAACGCGCCATATAATAAAAATGTAAATAACAACATAACAATTACAATTGCTCCACAAACTCACACAATTCCTATCTTCTTTAACTACAGAACAAATTTTGAATGTCCACTAAGCAGTAATCCCCTTTAGAATAAGGTAAGATTCAAACCTACAGTAAAATCCAAAGGAAACTTTCCGTGACCTTATATCTATACTCGACTCCCTCATCGAATTCGACCTATGAGGGTCAAGTAGATCAGTTCCTAGGAACCGACAACTCGACACTAGCACATGAGATTTGATTATAATGGTGAAAGTTTTGTGCAGAAACATCCACACTTTTTGAAGGGCCGAATACAGAGACCTGGTGAACTACGGGCCAAAGGGTCTCCAAACGACCCTCCGCAGGTTTTGAATTCAGAGTTTTCCTTCTCCTAAGCCAGTTGCCATCCAAGGCTGTAGAATTCGATTTGTCCTGTTATTTACCCATAGCTGGAGAGAGAAGAAGAGGTTTAATATCTTTTCGAATGGTATTAGCAAGTAAGTGAATGTAATGGATTCAATTGGAATCCGAACTCGGCTATCTGATTCGTCAATCCAAGTATCTGCATTCTTTGAAAAAAACTATTAAAATAGACGGACCTAAAAAATTAATGTTATTTAAAGTTGGGATTAATATTTTATTTTATATTAAACATAAAAGGGGATTACTGGGTTTAAGAAATATTTTTATTTAAAGATACCATAAAAAGTAATAATAATGAGGCATAAAATGGGAAAGGTTATAATTTACAATAAAAATTAATCTGGATCAACGTATTTCAACAGATATTTATACTTAGGCCTACATGTGGCCATCAATTCATTTCCCGTGTTTAATATGTTAGTGTTATTTAAGTGTTTTACGATAACTAATTTTTCTACAAGGCATAAATTACACTTATCGCCTTTCCTATTGTAAGATTTTGTTTTTGCTACAATATCCCACGTAATAATGTGTATATTATCATCATTCTTTAATTGCCAGAAATGATTTGAGAGAGCAGTGCTGTTCGTATAACTTACATTGACTCAAATCATTCGATTATCGTAGGATTATGAGTGTATCCAAAACAAAATTTAATATCGTTATCGGAATGTATACCAGTTCAGTATACAATATCATCAGTCATGCAGTTACACTTTCAGTGAAAGATCATATATATATATATATATATATATATATATATATATATATATATATATATATATATATATACACGTAGTTAAGATTGAAAAACTTGGTAATCCGCATGAGTAGCCCCAAGGAGGATGAAATCCTGAGAGCTCAATGTAAATTCAGAGCTAATAATTTAAAGAAAACCGACCACTTTAAGGTTCCATTGTAATAGTTTATTTCACCAGACACCTTTTAAAGTATTCTGGATCATCAGACATCACTTCCAAATGGTGAAACGAAAAATGAAATGAAAATTAACATGTTTGACGGGTAGTATTAAGTTTATGTAATTTAACAGAGATGGTAGTGAAAAGTGTTGTGAGAGACTTGGTCGAGTTTATATATATATATATATATATATATATATATGGAGTACGATTATATATACAGACATACTGGCAAAAGCAAATACACTAGACGCACCTACCCACATACACACGAACCCTACACACCATGCAAAGTATATATATATATATATATATATATATATATATATATATATATATACTATTTTCTTGTAATAAAACACACACGCACTCAATACACAAGAATAACGGAAGGAGTAAAGGACCAAATTTAATTGTTGTTTTACCCCTAAAGCAAAGAAACACTTTTCAGTCAGTTTAAGATGACTACTACTACATATAAAATACAATGGTTAAATGACTTAACATAGGAAGAAAAATTAATTAATATGCGGAAGTAACCATTCTTCGACAGATGAAGGTCTGTTGAAACTTGACTAATGCATGGAATAATAATGCAACACAAAATGTACTTAGAACAAAATGTATTGAAACAAGAAAGTGTACACAATATTTACATATAGTCTTTTGTATATTCCTGGTAAGACCGTTTCTGGAGAATGTGTTGACTGAGTCGCAGTCGGGCAGTGTCTCTGGTTGAATCTCTTGATTCCACCCTCTCTTCCCGGTACCAACCATATTTGTATGGTCGGTACTCCACTATGCAAATTAGGTGGATCCTACCACAACAAGGTCGCGAGACCCTAAACCTATGTTGCAAAACATATAGAATAAAGTATATAAAATAATCCACATTGTAATAAAAAATAAAGAAGTTACCCACAGGAAACATCATTTAACGTTAGCAATTATGATTCGTAGACTAACAGTTTCAAAGAATATATGGAAATAGAAATCACGCCAAAAATTACATGAAAATTAAAAGAATACCAACTTAAATTAACAGAAAATGACGTAGTCATAGCTCTCCGTGAGAAATTAGTGATAATCACCTTTTTCGGAAAAACAAAACAAACTAAAAACCTACACAAAAATCAGAGCCAATTTTCAAATGCAGATTCGAAAACTAATCCCTAATATGTTACCTACAACAATCTCATTGTCATAACGTTTAAATAAAATCCCATTATCTAAATCTAATAAACATTATATCAAATACCAAGATATATGACCAAAGAAAAATATAAAAAATATAACATAATAAATAAATTAAAGAAATAAAATAAAATAAGAAATCATCGCATTAATAAAATAAACATTAATAACCATAAATAAACCAGGAATTACTGTTTTCTCCCTCCCCCACTTTTTTCTTAATCCTCTAGTGGGCTATAGACAGAACCCATTAAATTAGTTGTGTCACTTTCTCAGAAGATCACACGAAACGTCAAAGAGGGTTTATTCATATATCCACCATCGCTTAATCTGTCTATCTCTGTAGATAGATAGTTGAAGTCCGCTCAAACATTTTATGCAAATAAATAAACATAAATCCTAACCATAATTTGTTCAAAAGATTACACACAAAACAAACTACAAGTTTGGTCAAATAACATAATTCAGAGATATATTTACACTATTTAAATACTCACTGTTGTCCACATCTTATTTATTGTCATAACAACGTTTCGACCATTGTGGCTTCTGGGTTTCGTCAGGTGTATCTCGATCTGCGTACCCTACATGGAATTATAAACTAAATATGTATTTAATCTACAAACGTAAACTATCATCAATCCACTGACCATGCCTACGGATATCTTACCTGTGTTCTTATATTTAGTACTGTTCGATCATTGCTCACTCTCTTCCCACTGAGTTTAATATACACTATCCAGCCAAGGGATTGAACTCACAATTACTATGTCTACAAATTTACAAACCAACGCTATTGTTAAAAATAAGAACTAGACCTGATATACAAAGATATGGAGAGAAACAAATACAATCTACTTCCGTAGATAAGTGTTCAGTTCGGAATTCTTTGAGGTTACCCGGATTGACATACTCCTGATAAGGGACAGAGGAAACAACTGTCGAAACGTTGTAATAACAACAATAATGAGTGAAAAAAAAAAGTGAAACATATTTTCGTTGATATGATTTGTATTTTTATGGTGACTTAAATAACAACTGTCCAGTAGAATAAAATTAAAAAAAATAATGATAATGATCTTAAAAACAGATAATAATTCTTCTCAAAATTTATTCTCCTAAAGGCCGCTTTTACCAATGTCCTAAACCTTTCTATTAGGCTCCAATCTGACCAACACGGAGGCCACTTTATCCATCGCTCACGCTGTAATCAACGGCTACAATCGGAGCATCAGCTGGCACATTGTCGTGCATAAATGTGATCTTCCATTTGAATGCCAGTGACTTCTTGAGACATACAGAAAAGCTTGTATTTACACGGCTTAATAACAGAACGAGAGAAATGTAGGGGAAAAAAAGAAGAGAAGTGGTATAGTAATAAACAAAGAAGAATGGGGAGAGAGGGAAAACGAACGTGATAGAAACAGAATAATAAGAAAGGAAAATGAAAGAGGAGAATTTAGAATTTACTAAAGAGAGAAACAGACTGCAAAAGGGAAATGAAAAGCGATGAGAGAAAATATGATAAAAGTGAGTGGAAAAGTACAGAGACGAAGGAGAAGAGAGAAAGCTATGATAGATTTTATTAATAAGAGATTTGTATGAGAAAAGAGGCACAGACAAAAAAAAAAGAAAACGATAAGACGAAAATGGAGAGAAAAGTAAGAGAATGAGGCTAGATTTCTTTATACGAAAAAGATAATGAACCGAAATGCTAATATTTTGTTTATCCCTCGCACAAGAAAAATGAAGCTGAAGACGTTTGCCTGGAATAAAATGTTGAAAAGTTCAGTTCAAATTTATTGTATCAATCAGTCAGCTATGTACCATGCATGATACACGCTGAGGAGATAATGTATCTTTCGATACATGTTTGACAATGCAGACTTTTCCCGCATTAGGTTGCCATTTCTTTGTGCGGTAGACCAGTTGCCATCCAAGGCTATAGGACCCGTTCTGTCCTGCTATTTACGCATAGCGGGGGAGAAGAAGAGGATTCATACCTTTCCCAAGGATATTAGCACGTAAGTGAATGTAATGTATTTGAATAGAATTCGAACTCGGTTCTCTGATTCCTCAACCCGAGCTGCTATCCATCACTCCACCGTATCTATACTGTTCTGTAAATACCTTGTTGTTTAGGGACTATTTATTGCTTGTTCTTTGTCTTTTGATCACTGATGTATCTGATTCTGATCAAAACTTTGATGATAATAATGAGAGAGCTGTTGTAAAACTGAAGGGGTTTTGTCTTGATATCAGTGAGTATTTCTGTCGTGTGTCTTAGACAAATATTGACTCCTTCCGATTGTGCCACATCTCTCTCTCTCTCTCTCTCTCTTTCTCTCTCTCTCTCTTTCTCTCTCTCTCTTTCTCTCTCTCTTTCTCTCTCTCTCTCTTTCTCTCTCTCTCTCTCTCTTTCTCACTACCTCAGCACTGTATTATAGTTTATGGCGTTGATGATGATTGTCGAAAAGGGCCTTGTGTGCGTTTAAATACAATGATGATATTTATGATGATGATTGTGTTGGTTATCTTGAGATTTTAAAACATTGTGATTATTTATTTCCGAACAATGAAGAATTTGAATAGACTGCAAATAACCACAGAGTCAAAATTCATTTTGCATTTTAAAATTCCTTTTTTTTTTGTTTCTAAAACGTTTTTTGATTTTAGATTCCCAATTAAAAGAAGATACACATCCGCTTGCATTTAAATTCAAATTACTGGCATCAGGTATATCTAGATGCCTAACCTAATCAACTTCATAAAGCTTTCGGTTGTATTTTAGTTTTTTATATTAATATTGTTCTTTTAACAGATGCCATATTGTCTCAACATTAGTTTAGTCAGGAAAAGAGACAATTTTTGCATTTAAATTCATCGTAGATCTCTGTTTAAATTAAATGACATTATTTAAGTGGAAATTAAGTGGAAATTATAGTCACACCTATCACTATGGACAACTAATTATTTTGTTATTATTTTGCATTAATTAAAACTCTTATATTTTTTTGAAGCAATTATAAAAAACATTAATGTTTAGTTACATTCTTTTCATGTGTAATCGTCATTCAGTTTGTTTGGTTTGGCTTGTTTTACGGCATATCAATTGGTGATTTAATGCCTACAAGATTTTTATTGCTGCTCATATTTTTTTTCCAATGATGTATTGTAAGTAATATTTATTTCGTCAAAAATGTATTGCTGGTGATAATGAATTACTGGTAATAATTTTTCCTCAAATTTATTGCTGGTATTAAAACCTATATCCACACTTTCATAGTGTTTTGCCACCAGTGTTGGGGTTAACTATTTGCCCATAGTTGGGAACCTAACAGGTGCTACCACCCGGTGTCAGGCATTTAAGAGGTGGTTCAACGCTCCTCAAATCTGATCAGAGCCTTGCATATGGTTTGCTACTTCTGCTATATACTTATAGACCATTGATAAAATCCATTGTCCATGATATTTTTGGTCCTGACATGGCATCCCGTCTTAGACACTTTCCCACGTCCGTAATGTAAATGCCTTGAGAGGGTGTGTGTGTGTGTGTGTGTGTGTGTGTGTGTGTGTGTGTGTGTGTGTGTGTGTGTGTGTGTGTGAGAGAGAGAGACACGAATGCACGGCCGCAATTTTCGACGGATTTGCACCAAAATTTACATGCACATGTTCCAAGTTAGCGGGAAGGCCAAGACTAACTTTGCATTTCCCAAGTCCCATCGATAGTGGAAATAATCGATTTTTCATGGTTCTACGGCAGTTTGCGGACATTTTGTATTGTCCAGAGTGAGAACCAATAGCTGGCTGCCACGAATGGGCAGGAAGATTCTATTGGTCAGTGTGAGAGCCAACCGCTCACTGACACGAATGTTAACTAGCATGCTAGCATGCAAAAGAATTGATAGCTGCATTCGTCACAGGTGGAAAAAATTTAAATCTGCATGGCACTTTACTCCATTTGGCTCATTCGCTTGCTTAAACTCAACGTTGATTCTGATTCCGCAAAACTGGGTTTGGGTGTGAAAAAGTATTTGTTGTTAACATTCTTTTTTCATTCGGTTTTTCCAGTTACGAGTCTTTTTAAAGCTGATTGTTTTGTGTTTATTTTGTTTAGTTCTTTTTTCGTAACAGATTTAATGTTTAGTATTGAGCTTAGAAAAAATTCGCAGTGTGCGATAGGCAAGAAGTAAGGCATGTAGCAACATCAGCACGGCAAAGGGCACTCCTTTAAAGGTAAGGAAGGACAAAAATATTTTAAGTCAAGTGATAGCGATTGTTGTATGAGTCGTACGATTTTTGAATCAAGCACGGGCAACGCCGGGCCATGCTGCTAGTTTTCTATAAATACTTTCATGATGATTTTTTTAGAAATACTTTTATGGCACTGGGGCTCTATGAATTTAAGTGCAGTACTAAATTTACAGCAGGCGCTCACCATTTTACATTAGAAAATGGCTATATGTAACTGTAAGTAAGTTATAGGCTAATAGTTTTTTTTTTCGCCATACTTCACACTTGTTAAACTCACTTCCGCTTTCTTGCTTTCCAATCAATTTTGAGCTTCAAAAAAAAGAAAAAGAAAAATGCAATGTGAATTGTTACCTTCTTTCGTCTTAATTCCCGTTGTTTTATTTTTATCGCGTCTGAATAATGTTTTTTCTTTTATAATCAGTAACCCCCTGCGCCTTAGTGACTTGATTGCCTTGACTGGCATGAAATGATAAAACAAACTCTATGGTAGGGTTTGAATAAGCCTTTCTCTCTCCAACGACATTTATTTTTAAATCACTCATAAATTTATCTCTGAATTTCTAGCTTGACGGGGTTATCATTGTGCATACTATTTACTTGCAGACATGCACAATCCCTGGGAGAGGCGATATGTGCTTGGACTTAGTGAAAACCGGGCGAGGAATAACTGAGCAGTACAAACATAAGAACTAGAGCGGATGTCCCTAGACATGGGCAGTAGAACGTAAGCAGTCTATCCCCCCCATAGATTAAATAATGGATTTAGGTAGGGATCAATGTAGATTAATGGGGTTAATATAAACCTATGAAGGCCAGAGGGGACAACCCCACAAAACGTTGTGATGAGAATAAAATGACGAGGACAATGATCATGGCAATGGTAGTGATAATATTAGCCGTTTGCCTATAAGGAAACATTTAGCATTCACTGACCGAGTAGCCAGTACTGCATTCGGTTTAAATTAGTAAAATCTTTCTCCTAAAATAATATTTCCGAAAAGAGGTTTCTCAGGCCTTTATATTATCGTTCTTTCCAGAACTGAAGCGGGTCTCCTCCAAAACTCACTTTGAAGTCATGTGCAATGTCAACATCTTGATTATTTCTCTTCGAACAACATGTGTTATCCATTTTGGGGCTGATGTTGCTTTTGGTAGTGATGAGATGTGATTTCTGTTATTTGGCGCTGTTATTTTGTTTGTGATTGTGTAGCGCCAGTTTACAATGTTCAAAGAAGCATAATCTTTGCCAAGACTTCACATGCTCAAAGTTTTTTAAAAAACTGATCAGAGTAAGCTGTTCCGAAAGAAAATACTGTAAATCTTGATATAGGTTGCTATGTGGAGAACAAGTCCGCTTATAAATAATATAAACAGACATAAGACACTCCAGGCGGCGGATCTATGGTCGTACAGAAGGATACTGAATATATCATGGATCGATCGTGTGAGCAACGATGAGGTCGTGGAGAGGATGCAAACAAGGAGAAAGCTTATACTTAACATCAGGAAGAAGCGGATTAAATTTCTGGGATAACTAATGAGAAAGGACGGCCTGGAGAATCTGATACTCACAGGTCGTATAGAGGGAAATAAAGACAAGAGAAAGCAACGCATGACATACCTGGCAGTGGATGACAGAACGGGGTCTAGGGGAGTTGGTAGTTGCATGAAATTTACTGAGAGCCTCAAGGGATAGAGGGAAGTGGAGAAGCTTGAACGCTTACGTCCTTAAGGGACAATGCACATAAAAAGAAAGATTAGCCGTTCATTAAACCATAGAAATCATAGAAACTTATGTAGTAAATCAGATAGAATCTATTATTTATATATACGTTCTTTCTTTGTTATCTTATTCTTTGTTAGATTAATTTAATTGTCCTTGTTATTTTCCCTCTAAAATTCTTTCGCCTCCATTTGCTTTTTCTTCACCATAAAAAAAAAAAAAACAAAACATCTTTGTTCTCTTTCTCTCCATTAAAACTCGGTGTTTTGTTTTCTTCTTGGACATTGTTTACCGTTTCTACGAGTTACATTTCATTTATATATTTATTCAGTTGTGCATGAATATATGCTATTGGTGTCATTTACAAAGCGAATAGCTATACAACATAAACATATAAAAAGTTTCAAATGCACCACAAAATTCTACATGTAAAAACACTTATATATATATATATATATATATATATATATGTGTGTGTGTGTGTGTGTGAAAATTTATCAGGGTTAACCTGTAGAAAAGACAATAGTTATAAATATAAATAACAATAGAAAAACTGTAATAGTTGCCGATGCGTTTCGTCCTATATGGACTTTCTCAAGGCAAGAAACGAAATGACTTTATTTAAACTAATAACATTTTGCTTTTGTTATTATTAGTTAAACAAGAAAAATTATGATCAGCACTAGCATTACAGTTATTATTGTTATAAAAATTCAATGTTTTATTGTTATGTGATTTAATTATTTTCTCTAGATTATTAGTACAGGTATAGCTAAGTTTATAGTGTTCAGATTGAAAATGTTACTTAAAGAATTATTTTTTTATCAACTAAGCTAAAAAATGTATGTCACAGTTTAGTACGAACTAATTGATTGAATCGAGGTGTATATCATATGATCTTCCTGTTTCTGTTTTTCTTTTTGGAACAACCATAATCGTCTACAAACCTAAATTTAAGAAGATCTGAACCAACAATCCCTAAGAACTTTATCATAAACCGTTTTATATTTTTCGAATATCTCTTTGCCAAAGGAATATTGGTTAGCACATCGTTCAACAGATGATGGAATATATTGGATTAGACACGGTGACTAATTAAAGCTACAGTGGATATAAATAGGGTTGGCATTGTTTTTCAATATATATATATATATATATATATATATATATATATATATAGTTTTTCAATATATGTGTCATATTCGACTCTCCCGTCAAATTGGATGTATGAGTGTCAAGCAACTCAGTTCCTACGACAGCCTGACAACAGCACATAAGATTTGATTATAATGGTGACGGTTTCGTGCAGGACCATCCAGACTTTTTGAAGGGCCGAATACAGGGACCTGGTGCATTACATGTCACAAGGTCCCCAAACGACCCTCCGCAGGTTTTGAATTCAGAGTTGTCCTTCTCCTAAGCCAGTTGCCATCCAAGGCCATAGAACGTAGTCTGTCCAGT